CAGTGATGCCAGAGTGTCAACAGTGATGCCAGAGTGCCAACAGTAACTGCCAGAGTGCCATCAGTGACTGCCAGAGTGTCAACAGTGACTCCCAGAGTGTCAACAGTGATGCTAGAGTGCCAACAGTGACTGCCAGAGTGCCAACAGTGATACCAGAGTGCCAACAGCGATACCAGAGTGCCAACAGTGATACCAGAGTGTTAACAGTGATGCCAGTGTGCGAACAGTGATGCCAGAGTTCCAACAGTGATGCCAGAGTGCCAACAGTGACTGCCAGAGTGTCAACAGTGGCTCCCAGAGTGTCAACACTGATGCTTGAGTGCCAACAGTGATACCAGAGTGCCAACAGTGATACCAGAGTGCCAACAGTGATACCAGAGTGCCAACAGTGATACCAGAGTGCCAACAGTGATACCAGAGTGCCAACAGTGATGCCAGAGTGCCAACAGTGATGCCAGAGTGCCAACAGTGATGCCAGAGTGCCAACAGTGATGCCAGAGTGCCAACAGTGATGCCAGAGTGCCAACAGTGATGCCAGAGTGCCAACAGTGATGCCAGAGTGCCAACAGTGATGCCAGAGTGCCAACAGTGATGCCAGAGTGCCAACAGTGATGCCAGAGTGCCAACAGTGATGCCAGAGTGGACATCTTACAAGTTCCCACACTACTAACAATAACAATAATGTTCGGTACATACGTGATGGCCAGAATGAATAATTTCTTACAGAAATATACAATAACATTACCTTAAATAGGTGATATCACAATAGGCAGAATAATCTCAGCGAAGAATAATGAAAGTATAAGAACTTTCAACATTTCTTACATCCTCTGATAATGTGAAAAACCGCGAAAGCTCACAGAAATATCTTATAAGAATGGTCAGCTTGGGTGCCTTTGTTTACGTTTTTTTATTCAATTCAATTCAATTCAAGTTTATTCTCTATAAGTGTTACAATGTGGAGTTTACAGGTTTTGGGTATTGTGTGGTTTACATGTTATAAAATACTAATTACAGAGGGTGCCACTAGGACACCTAGCATGGCTAGGCATTACAGAGGGGGCCGCTAGGGCACCTAGCATGGCTAGGTATTACAGAGGGGGGCACTAGGGCACCTAGCATGGCTAGGTATTACAGAGGGGGGCACTAGGACACCTAGCATGGCTAGGTATTTCCAGCAGACTTAGATTAATTCTTAACATTAAATCCTTACAGGTTATAGTATTAAGGCTAAGTGACTACATCATAATTTGTGAGTTTAGCAATGTGAATGATTTTGTTTTGGCACAATACAAGGTGTCTATATTGGAGTATCATAGACAAACTTATGACTAGTTAGGATTTATTATTTTAAGATTAAGATTAGTATTTCTGGGTTTATAGTCAGTGGGTGAGTGAGTGTAATTGTGAACCACCAGGTGGTTATCATGTAGTTAGTTCTCGGGGTGGATCAGGGAGATAAGATGTTGTCTAACTGTAGTTTTGAAGGTGATGAATGTGTCTGCAGTTCTAGAGTTCTCAGGTAGGGTATTCCAGATTTTAGGGCCTTTGACATACATTGAATTTTTGTAAAGGTTTAGTCGGACACGGGGAATGTCGTAGAGATGTTTGTGTCTGGTGTTATGCCTGTGGGTTCTGTCACAACTATCAAGAAAGCATTTTAGGTCAAGGTTAATATTGGAATTTAAGGTCCTGTAGATGTAGCTTGCACAGTAGTAAGTGTGGATGTACTGAACAGGGAGTAAGTTTAGATCTATGAAGAGTGGGGGGGGTGTGTTGCCAGGGATGGGATTTAGTGATTATTCTTACTGCAGCTTTATGTTGGGTTATTATTGGCTTTAGGTGTGTTGCTGCAGTTGATCCCCAAGCACAAATAGCATAGGTGAGGTATGGATATATAAGTGAATGGTATAGTGTGAGAAGGGCAGTTTGCGGCACGTAGTATCGTATCTTGGAGAGGATCCCAACCATTTTGAATATATTAATGTTACAATTACAGGGGTAAAAGTGAAGTGTCCAGGTCAGCCAGGTCACGGGTCACAGTTCCTGACCAACACTGCAGGAAAAACACTCCAGAAGGTCATTGACTCTTTCCTGGGTTATAGAGATGAACAAGAACGCTTACTGAAGGAGAACAAGAACCTGCGTCTTGGAGATGTTAACACTGTTAACCTCACGATGCTGGAGGTAATTACTGCTTTTCCTGCCTCTTGGAGATGTTAACATTGTTAACGTTGTTAACCTCACAATGCTGGAGGTAATGAGTTTCCTGCGTCTAGGAGAATTTTAACGTTGTTAACATTGTTAACCTCACAATGCCGGAGGTAATAACATAGGTGTCCCAGAGCTGGGTTGGTAGCGCACTCACCTCTTATATTGATGTCCGGGGTTCGATCCCCGGTACGGGTAGAAATATTAGGGCGTCTTTCCTTAAGACACCTGTTGCCCATGTTCACCTAGCAGACAGTAGGATGCAAACCCCCCACACCCGAATGGTGTGGGTCGCATCCTGGGGTCAAAATTAACCTAATTTGAGGGAAATGTTCTGCTTACTAAGGGACTTTCTATGGTTTGTATAAGTTATATCATTTAGAAATAATGATTATTATTATTATTGGTATTATAAGCATCTTCTGAACATTTGCTTGAGGTGCAGGAGGGTCCCACTTTACAGCGTTTTAGTTGACAGTGACTCGCTAAAACGGACATTCCAAATTATAGCCCGAGGGGCAAACAGTCCCTGGACCCATTATGTACCTGCGTAATGTTGAAGTACAGTCCATGGACCCATTATGTACCTCTGTAATGTTGAGGTACAGTCCCTGGACCCATTATGTACCTGCGTAATGTTGAAGTACAGTCCATGGACCCATTATGTACCTCTGTAATGTTGAGGTACAGTCCCTGGACCCATTATGTACCTCTGTAATGTTGAGGTACAGTCCTGGACCCATTATGTACCTCTGTAATGTTGAGGTACAGTCCCTGGACCCATTATGTACCTCTGTAATGTTGAGGTACAGTCCCTGGACCCATTATGTACCTCTGTAATGTTGAGGTACAGTCCCTGGACCCATTATGTACCTCTGTAATGTTGAGGTACAGTCCCTGGACCCATTATGTACCTCTGTAATGTTGAGGTACAGTCCCTGGACCCATTATGTACCTGCATAATGTTGAGGTACAGTCCCTGAACCCATTATGTACCTGCGTAATGTTGAGGTACAGTCCCTGGACCCATTATGTACCTGCGTAATGTTGAGGTACAGTCCCTGGACCCATTATGTACCTGCGTAATGTTGAGGTACAGTCCCTGGACCCATTATGTAAAAGTGTAATGTTGAAGTACAGTCCCTGGACCCATTATGTACCTCTGTAATGTTGAGGTACAGTCCCTGGACCCATTATGTACCTCTGTAATGTTGAGGTATAGTTCCTGGACCCATTATGTACCTCTGTAATGTTGAGGTACAGTCCCTGGACCCATTATGTACCTCTGTAATGTTGAGGTACAGTCCCTGGACCCATTATGTACCTCTGTAATGTTGAGGTACAGTCCCTGGACCATTATGTACCTCTGTAATGTTGAGGTACAGTCCCTGGACCCATTATGTACCTCTGTAATGTTGAGGTACAGTCCCTGGACCCATTATGTACCTCTGTAATGTTGAGGTATAGTTCCTGGACCATTATGTACCTCTGTAATGTTGAGGTACAGTCCCTGGACCCATTATGTACCTCTGTAATGTTGAGGTACAGTCCCTGGACCCATTATGTACCTCTGTAATGTTGACGTACAGTCCCTGGACCCATTATGTACCTCTGTAATGTTGAGGTATAGTTCCTGGACCCATTATGTACCTCTGTAATGTTGAGGTACAGTCCCTGGACCCATTATGTACCTCTGTAAGGTTGAGGTACAGTCCCTGGACCCATTATGTACCTCTGTAATGTTGAGGTACAGTCCCTGGACCCATTATGTACCTCTGTAATGTTGAGGTACAGTTCCTGGACCATTATGTACCTCTGTAATGTTGAGGTACAGTCCCTGGACCATTATGTACCTCTGTAATGTTGAGGTACAGTCCCTGGACCCATTATGTACCTCTGTAATGTTGAGGTAACAGTCCCTGGACCCATTATGTACCTCTGTAATGTTGAGGTACAGTCCTGGACCCATTATGTACCTCTGTAATGTGAGGTACTGTCCCTGGACCAATTATGTACCTCTGTAATGTTGAGGTACAGTCCCTGGACCCATTATGTACCTCTGTAATGTTGAGGTACAGTCCCTGGACCCATTATGTACCTCTGTAATGTTGAGGTACAGTCCCTGGACCCATTATGTACCTCTGTAATGTTGAGGTACAGTCCCTGGACCCATTACGTACCTCTGTAATGTTGAGATACAGTCCCTGGACCCATTATGTACCTCTGTAATGTTGAGGTACAGTCCCTGGACCCATTATATATCTCGGTAATGTTGAAGATTGAGACACTTATGCAGCATATGGGAATCTTTATTCAGGAAACGTTTCGCCACACAGTGGCTTCATCAGTCCAATACAAAGAGGAAGGCGTAAGGAGAGGAGGAGTTTGAGGTAATCAGTCCCTCAGCCTGGAGTCGATGTGTTCAGTCCATCAATCTTGTAGAATGTACAGCATAGGGCCGTAGACGTGGCTTATATACTGTAGAGAGGTGAGGTGAAGCAGGCGGAGGCGGGGTCATAGTGGTACCATCCACTAGTCGAAGTAGTCAGGTGAGGTGAAGCAGGAGGAGGCGGGGTCATAGTGGTACCATCCACTAGTCGAAGTAGTCAGGTGAGGTGAAGCAAGAGGTGGCGGGGTCACAGTGGTACCATCCACTAGTCGAAGTAGTCAGGTGAGGTGAAGCAGGAGGAGGCGGGGTCATAGTGGTACCATCCACTAGTCGAAGTAGTCAGGTGAGGTGAAGCAAGAGGAGGCGGGGTCATAGTGGTACCATCCACTAGTCGAGTAGTCAAGGTGAGGTGAAGCAGGAGGAGGCGGGGTCATAGTGGTACCATCCACTAGTCGAAGTAGTCAGGTGAGGTGAAGCAGGAGGAGGCGGGGTCATAGTGGTACCATCCACTAGTCGAAGTAGTCAGGTGAGGTGAAGCAGGAGGAGGCGGGGTCATAGTTGATACCATCCATAGTCGAAGTAGTCAGGTGAGGTGAAGCAGGAGGAGGCGGGGTCATAGTGGTACCATCCACTAGTCGAAGTAGTCAGGTGAGGTGAAGCAGGCAGAGGCGGTGTTATAGTGGTACCATCCACTAGTCGAAGTAGTCAGGTGAGGTGAAGCAGGCGGAGGCGGAGTTATAGTGGTACCATCCACTAGTCGAAGTAGTCAGGTGAGGTGAAGCAGCAGGAGGCGGGGTTATAGTGGTACCATCCACTAGTCGAAGTAGTCAGGTGAGGTGAAGCAGGAGGAGGCGGGGTCATAGTGGTACCATCCACTAGTCGAAGTAGTCAGGTGAGGTGAAGCAGGAGGAGGCGGCGTCATAGTGGTACCATCCACTAGTCGAAGTAGTCAGGTGAGGTGAAGCAGGAGGAGGCGGGGTCATAGTGGTACCATCCACTAGTCGAAGTAGTCAGGTGAGGTGAAGCAGCAGGAGGCGGGGTTATAGTGGTACCATCCACTAGTCGAAGTAGTCAGGTGAGGTGAAGGGAGGCGGAGGCGGTGTTATAGTGGTACCATCCACTAGTCGAAGTAGTCAGGTGAGGTGAAGCAGCAGGAGGCGGGGTTATAGTGGTACCATCCACTAGTCGAAGTAGTCAGGTGAGGTGAAGCAGGCGGAGGCGGTGTTATAGTGGTACCATCCACTAGTCGAAGTAGTCAGGTGAGGTGAAGCAGGAGGAGGCGGGGTCATAGTGGTACCATCCACTAGTCGAAGTAGTCAGGTGAGGTGAAGCAGGAGGAGGCGGGGTCATAGTGGTACCATCCACTAGTCGAAGTAGTCAGGTGAGGTGAAGCAGGAGGAGGCGGGGTCATAGTGGTACCATCCAATAGTCGAAGTAGTCAGGTGAGGTGAAGCAGGAGGAGGCGGTGTTTATAGTGGTACAAACCACTAGTCGAAGTAGTCAGGTGAGGTGAAGCAGGAGGAGGGGGAGGGGTTATAGTGGTACCATCCACTGTTTGAAGTAGTCAGGTGAGGTGAAGCAGGCGGAGGCGGCGATTATAGTGGTACCATCCACTAGTCGAAGTAGTCAGGTGAGGTGAAGCAGGAGGAGGCGGGGTCATAGTGGTACCATCCACTAGTCGAAGTAGTCAGGGGAGGTGAAGCAGGAGGAGGCGGGGTCATAGTGGTACCATCCACTAGTCGAAGTAGTCAGGTGAGGTGAAGCAGGCGGAGGCGGCGTCATAGTGGTACCATCCACTAGTCGAAGTAGTCAGGTGAGGTGAAGCAGGAGGAGGCGGGGTCATAGTGGTACCATCCACTAGTCGAAGTAGTCAGGTGAGGTGAAGCAGGAGGAGGCGGGGTCATAGTGGTACATCCACTAGTCGAAGTAGTCAGGTGAGGTGAAGCAGGCGGAGGCGGGGTCATAGTGGTACCATCCACTAGTCGAAGTAGTCAGGTGAGGTGAAGCAGGAGGAGGCGGCGGTCATAGTGATATCATCACTAGTCGAAGTAGTCAGGTGAGGTGAAGCAGGAGGAGGCGGGGTCATAGTGGTACCATCCACTAGTCGAAGTAGTCAGGTGAGGTGAAGCAGGAGGAGGCGGGGTCATTAGTGGTATCATCCACTAGTCGAAGTAGTCAGGTGAGGTGAAGCAGGAGGAGGTGGCGTCATAGTGGTACCATCCACTAGTCGAAGTAGTCAGGTGAGGTGAAGCAGGAGGAGGCGGGGTCATAGTGGTATCATCCACTAGTCGAAGTAGTCAGGTGAGGTGAAGCAGGAGGAGGCGGGGTCATAGTGGTATCATCCACTAGTCGAAGTAGTCAGGTGAGGTGAAGCAGGAGGGGTGGGGTCATTTGTGGTACCCCTCCACTAGTCGAAGTAGTCAGGTGAGGTGAAGCAGGAGGAGGCGGGGTCATAGTGGTACCATCCACTAGTCGAAGTAGTCAGGTGAAGTGAAGCAGGAGGAGGCGGGGTCATAGTGGTACCATCCACTAGTCGAAGTAGTCAGGTGAGGTGAAGCAGGAGGAGGCGGCGTCATAGTGGTACCAT